TTGCCTTTATATGTTACTTGACCTTTTTCCTTAGCTGCTCTTAATATTCTTTCTTTTATTCTGTATATTTGGGGTCTTGATAATTATGTGGCAAGGGGACTTTTTTTTGTGCTCCACTCTATTTGGTGTTCTGTAAGCTTCTTATACCTTCATTGGCATGTCTTTCTTTAGGTTGGGAAAGTTTTCTTCTATGATTTTGTTGAATATTTTCTACCACTTTGAGGTGGTTTTCTTTACCTTCTTCTATACATATTATTCTTAGGTTTGGTCTTTTCATGGTGTCCCATATTTTCTGGATGTTTTATGTTAGGATTTGTTGGACTTAAGATTTTCTTTGGTTGATGAATCAATTTCTCCTGGTGTATCTTCAGCACCTGAGATTCTCTGTTCCATCTCTTGTATTCTGTTGGTTATGCTTGCTTCTGTAGTACCTGACCATTTGCCCAGCTTTTTTATTTCCAGCCTTCCTTCAGATTGGTTTTTTTTTAATTGTCTCTATTTCAGTTTTCAATCCTCACACTGTTTGAATTGTTTCTGACAATTTTTTGCTTTGTCTTTTTATCCATTTATTGCATTTTTTGGATTTTTGTTTGCTTTTTCTTCCATTTCTTGTATTTTTGTTTGTTTTTTCTTCCATTTCTTGCATTTCTTGGTTTGATTTTTCTTCTTTCTTCCATTTCTTGCATTTTTTGTATTGCTTTTTCTTCCATTTCTTGCATTTTTTGTTTTTTTTTTTTCTTCCATTTCTTTGAGGGATTTTCCGATATCCTCTGTGAGGACCTCTATTGTTTTCATGAAGTTGTTCTCTATCATTTTCATGAAGTTGTTTTTGTTTGTTTGTTTGTTTTTTGTTTGTTAGTTTGTTTTTCGAGACAGGGTTTCTCTGTATTGTTTTGGAGGCTGTCCTGGAACTGGCTCTGTAGACCAGGCTGGCCTCAAAGTCACAGAGATCCTCCTGCCTCTGCCTCCCGAGTGCTGGGATTAAAGGAGTGTGTCACCACGCCCCAGTCTTCAGGAAGTTGTTTTTAAGGTCATTCTCTACTGCTTCATTTGTATTGTAATGTTGTACTCTTGCTGGTATGGAGTTTCTAGAATCTGGTGGTTTCATATTTGTTTTTCTGTTGCTGAGTGTGTTTTTTTATTGTCTCCTTCCAATCCCTTCTTCTAATGGGTACAGAAAGAGCCTCTTCCTGGCCTGGCAGTTAGGGGACCAGCGTTCCCTTTCGGTGGGTGCAAGCAAGTCCAGTACTCTGGTAGTTCTCCTCTTCCTGGTCCTAGTCCTGGTCCCATGGGTGGGTAAGAAGACCAGGAATCTGGGGTGCATAGTCTCCCACCGGGAGGGGAGACTCAGTGACAATCTCCAGGTGCTGAAGCAAGGGCCCAGAAACAGCCCCCTAATTGCCTGGTCCCATGGGTGGAGAAGACCACGAAACTGGGGTGCGTGGGCTGGTGCTGGGAGGGCAGGCTCACTGGTCGTCTGCAGGCACTGGTCCAGTGGATGTAGAAGAAGACCAGGAAACTGGGGTGTGTAGGCTTCTGATGGGAGGGGAGGCTCTATGGCAGTCCCCAGGCCCTGGAAGGTAGGCCAGATACAGGGCCCAGTTTACCTGGTCCTGTTGGCGGAAAAGAAGACCAGGAATCTGGGGTGCATAGGCTCCTGGAGGGGAGGTTCTGTGGTGGTCCCCAGGCACTGGTCCCGTGGTTAGATAAGATGGGGGGGGCTTAGACTCCCGCTGGGAGGGGAGACTCTGTGGCAGTCTCCAGGCACTAGAAACCACATCCTGTTTTCTAATACATCTTGTTAGTCTGTGGTCTGTGTCTTTTATTGGGGAATTGATACCACTGATACTGAGAGTTATCAATGAGCAGTGTTTATTGATTCCTGTTATTTTTTGTTGTTGTTGTTGTTACCGTGTGAGTTCCTTCCTCCGGTTCATTCCTCATGTCTTCTTCGGTATACTAACCTCTTCAGATTGAAGGTTGCCTTCTAGTCCCTTCTCTTGATCTGCATTGGTAGCTAGAATTGCTTACATTTGGGTTTCTTATGGAATGTATTTCTTTCTCCACCAATTATGATGAACATTTTGCTGAATATAGTTTGAACTGGCATCTGTGGCCACAGAGTTTATAGAACATTTGTGTAGGCCCCCCTGCCTTTCAGGGTCTCCATTGAGACGTCAAGTGTTTTTCTAATGAGTCTGCTTTTATAGCTCACTTTTTCCCTTGCAGGTTTTAATATCCTTTTGTTGCTGTTGTTCTGTGCATTTAGTGTTTTTATTGTTATCTGCCAAGAGGAATCGCATTTCTAGTTCTGTCTTTTTGATGTTCTACATGTTTTTTGTACCTTGATAGGCTCCTCTTTCTTTAGATTGGAGAAATTTTCTTCTATGATTTTGTTAAAAATATTCTCAGTGACTGATTTTTTTTTGTTGTTTTTTTGGCTTTTTAGATTTAACATTCTTTGACTTTGGTATCCATTTCTTCTACCTTATCTTCAACCTAAGATTCTTTCTCTGTGTTGTGTACTCTGTTGTAAGGCTTACCTCTGAGCTTCTGTTTAACATCCTAAATTTTTCATCGCAGTTACATATCAGTTTGAGTTTTCTTTAGTGGCTGCATTGCTTTGTTAAATTCTACTTTCAAGTCTGTAATTATTGTCATCATTTCATTCAACTATGTGCTCGTGTTTTCATAGACTTTATTAAGGGACTTATTCACATGCTCTTTAAGATTGTTGAACATATTAATAATAGTTATTTAAAGTCCTTTCTTGTGCTTCTGCTGTCATGTGATTCGCAGGGCCTGTTGCAGTAGGATCACTGACTTCTGCTGGGGACATAACTGTCTTGGCTATTCATGATTGTGTTTTTATGTTGGGATCTATGCTTCTAGAGTTATAATGTTTGAGGTGCTTCTTGGTGTTATTATCTAGTCTGCCTTTGTTCCATTCTTTGGTTGCTGTTGCCTTCTTCAAATACTAGGCAAGAGTTGTGACTTTGGGGTCCCTGGTAGAGTGCTTCTGCCTGTCAGTGGATGGCAGAAGTACATGGATATGGACTAGAAGGAAGGGCTCAGAGAGGCCATGGGAACGATTTTGGTGTGGGGGTATTGTCTGCACCAAGAGGCAGAGTCACCAATGACTATAAGCCATTTTAGGAGATTTTGAGCATCTCCTAGTTTCAATTCTCCTTTATTGTCCTATGGTAAACAGTGTACCTGAGATTTTGAAATGTTCCTACTCAATTGGAATTTCGGATGTCTAAATCACATTATTGTTGCTGTAAGATTTCAGTCTTGATGTGGGTGATCTAAAAAGAACACTTTTGCGTTTTTATATAAATTCCTTTTTTACATAGTTTTAAGCATATTATTATTATTTTCTTCTTTATCTAGTGCATTATCCTATGCTACCATTGTTTGCCAGTCTTTTTATTGCCCTCCGTATATGCTAGTACTCTTATCACAGTCTGTGTTCAATATCCACACCTATAAACTTTGTTAGAAAGACACACTATTTCTATAATGTTTTTTCTTAAAACGTTATCTCTTAAAATATAGATTATAGGCCCTGGTGATCCTTGAAACCATTTCATGTGAAGATAAAGCTATGTTTTATAATAATAAGATATTTTGTTCTAATTCGTCAGTATCCAGTAGAATTTTCCCAAAAGCCACCTGCTGGCTAATAAGATATTTATTTATATATCCTTCTTAAAAATTTTTTCTGTTTTGGAGGCCTCCGCATTCTTTGGGGCCTCAGGCAATAAATAGATCAGCATTTAGCCCATCATCCAGAGGGGCTTTGGGAGCCCATTCCACGTGGAGGGATGCTGTCTCCACCTGGACACATGGGGGAGGGCCTAGGCCCTGCCCGGGATCATATGACAAACTTTTCGAGATCCCCCGTGAAGGGCCTGACCCTCCTTAGAGAATGGAGGGGGGACTGGGGGAGGGTTGAAGGAGGGTGGGAGAGGGAGCTGTGATTGACATGTGAAACAAACTTGTTTCTAATTTAAATTAAATTAAAAAGAAAACAATTCTGTTTTAATTCTAAAATAGTAGTCATAGTCTGTATAAACAAAAGCTGTTTGGGTTCCTTAAGAGTATGTATAGGTCCTGAGGCCAAAAAGGTTGAGAACTAGTGCTACCAAGGTCAGCTTAACCAGAAGACAAATGTGGAGGTGAGATGAGTCACTTCCTCTACCTTAGTCTTCAGGATACTGAGGTCTTATTGTTGAAGGTACTAGGATAGGTTTTGTCTGGGAGATCCTTCTCAACTTGGAAATACCTCAAGACAGATTCAGAATACAACTATAGTAAATATTTAATGAACTAATTTTCAAGTCTCATTGAAGTATGATTATTTTAAAAAATCTTGTTACTCTGTAGTTAAGGGAACCTGAGTAGAACCTACTCCCATATATTAATAGCTAATATACCTTTCTACTTCAAACCAGGTAATTAAACTGAAAGTTAAGTGACAGTAGTCCTATTTAGCTGCCAGTCACTACCTTCCAACCAGTACAGTATAGATTACCCAAGTTCTGTTTTCCATTTTGAGTTCATTCACCCAAAGTTACATTTAAAAAAAAAATAATAAAAGTCATCTGGAGAGTTGACTCAGAGGTTAAGAACATGTGTTGTCCTTTCAGAAGATAGGGTTCAATTCCCAGTATCCACCATCTGTAACTACATTCCCAGGGGATCTGTAACTCCAGGACCAGGGCATCCAGGCATGAATATGGTGCACATATATCACTCAGCCAAAACACTCATATATATATATATATATATATATATATATATATATATATATATATATATATATATAGTAAAATAAATAGGCAGACTCACCTAAGTGTCAGTTTTCTTGCAAAGGAAATACCTATCTGAAAGATAGACTTTATTGTACTTAAAGCTGATTCATATTAAGAGAGGGTGTCTTTAATATCCAAAAGTCTGTGAAGAAAATTTTTCTGTTAATATTTTTTTTCTTATAGGGTATCTGTGGAGTCGTTCAAGCATGGGGCCCTGAGAGAGCAGCTGGCTAACTTGGCCACAAGACAAAAGAGTCTTTTAGTTGTGGCAAAGAAACAGAAAAAGATAAGACTAAAAATTCAAAACTACAAGAATGCCAAACCATTTTCTGGTATTAGTTTAAGGAAGCTTCCATCTAGCTCAGACATTTCTAGTAAGAAGAGCCAAGAGTCTCCTGGTGTGGAAAAGCCAGCACACCCCCAGTCAGGCTCACTTTCTCCTGTCTGTCTTGCTTCTATTTCTCCTGTCAGTAGAAGCACTGTGGAAATACAGAAGGACAGCCAGAATAGTAACATTTGTTTAGATGCAGAGGCGATGGAAAGAGGAGGATTTTCTGGAAATGAGATGAATTCTAAAGAAAATGTCCAGGGTTGTACCTTGGATGGATTATTGAGTTCCAGATACTCAGTTGGCACTGAGAAAATTAAAATATCATCCAAGCCTGTTGCTTTTATTCCTCAAGGAGGAAATTCACAAGAAGAAAGCAGTTTTACAGAAACTATAGTCAGAGGCTACAGTCTTGATAGTTCTCCTGCAGTGACTGGCACTGTAAATATTTCAGAAGATAAAAGGGTATTTTCTCAAAATGATGCCTGTCTACCAACTGTTCGTCAGAATCAGGACCTTTCCCGTTGTTATCCAAAAAGATCAAACAAGAAAACAGCTTCCCAGACACCATCTGGGGGAGCATCAGAACCACTGGCTCGTCAAGTGACTACTGTCTTAGACACTGATACTGTGCAGCAGACAAAGCCATGTCCTAAAAAAACAGCTTCTGTTAATGCACATGAAAACAGCCTTCAGATCTCTCCTTCCTCTGGGTCTGCCAATCAACATTCAATTAAAACACCTTCACGCCACAGCACAACTGCTAAAAAGAAAAATATGCGGCTGAAAGATTTGATATTGCTTGGAAGAATTAATCCAGGAAATAACATTCTGGAATTCAAAACACAGGTATTTTTTTCTCTAAAGTCTTGCAGATTTTATAATCAATGTTGGTATAGAATAGTATAGGCATATAGGAAGTAGGATTTGGCTGTGCTTTCTAAATTAGGGACATAGTCACTGTGTTCTTAGGAAGAAAAGCCATACCTTATTCTGGAATTTCCCTAATAGATTTTATGCATGTTTTGGTTCTCAACTACAGACTGTCAATAAGATTGTAGTAGGGAGGATTTAAGAGTAATGATAGGAATTTGAAGCTGTTACTAGTTATAAACTAAATTCAAGAGTTACCAGTACACTGCTAAGCCACCCCCTAGGAATGTGTTAATTTGTTTTCAATAGACAGTCAGTTTAAGACCAGACTTGAAGTTCCAGTAAGAAACTCAATTAGAAGTATAATAACATGCATAAAAGTGAATGATGAGAAAAGATTCTGTTAGATATGCCTATTAAAAGATATTTTATATATTCTTGTTTTGAAAGAGGAATTTAGAGTGGCAAAGATTGCCAAGTCATTGAATATGCTCCTTTGCTTGTGGACTCATATTTGAGAAATCAACCCAGCCTAATTGGAATGGCTCTGTTTCCTACTCTTCGCATTTCTGGACACTGACTTTTCCTACTTCAGAAGCTTTACTTCTAAGTTAAGAACTTAACAGTTTAATGTTAAAGTTTCAATTAGAGTTCTGTGATCACATTAATGGTATGATCGCCTCTCCTTTGATAGTCTAGTTTGCCCACCAAGAAATTTGTTAAGCATCAGTTTTAGTAGATTAATTATATTTCCTCAGATTTTGATAGTTGTCATTACTGGATCAACTTTATGAATCTTCAGTAGTTATTTTGACAACTTTATTGAGGTGTAATTCCTGTACAGTGCACATACTCAAAGTGTACTATTTGCAAGTTTGGCATGTGTATTACCTGTGAAATTCTGTGACAAAGGTTTTTTTTTGTAGAATTCTGACAATTTTTTCTTAAAGCAAAGTTAGTGAGTTTATTAAGTAGCTGTAGTTGTTAGGATATAACGGTGCTTAGGTGTCTTTACAGTGACTGCATATGACCTTGTGCCTTCATAAATTACGTTTCTCAAAGAATGCACTTTACTACCAGGGTAAAGAGTGAGCATAATTTTAATCTTGGGCTAGGATTCATGTAAATTAATTTTCATTTTAATTTAAGTATAAAGTATAATCCCTATTCATATTTGTATTTCTATGTGTGAACTCATATATATACATGTATATGAACATATCTATATATGGTAATATAATTATTTACTATGAATATACTTACTTTTATCTATTTTTGAGACACTATCCTACCTCTGCCTCCCAAATTCTGGGATTAAAGGTCTACCGACCCCACCCACTCCCCTATCCCACCCCTTGCACTAATATTTCATGTTTAATAACATCAGTTATCCAGTTTTTAAAATTTCAATTTCTAGCTGCTTACTGCTAGTTTGAAGAAATTGACATTTGAATATTGAAATATTTTCCTACAACTTTCCTAAGCTTACTAGTTAAAGGATATGTTTGGAAATTTTATTAAATTTGCTTTGTAAATTATATGGTTTAGTAACAAAAGATAGGGTTTTCTTTTCCCCTCCCTCCCTCCCTCCCTCCCTCCCTCTCTCTCTCTCTCTCTCTCTCTTTCTTTCTTTCTTTCTTTTTTTTTTATATGTTACCTGACTGCAAGGACCAAACTGGGTGGAAATGGCTGACCAGAGAACCATTAGACTCCATCTGCCCCCACCCCATGCTGTTTTACAGATAAACCTAGATTTGTGTGAATGCTAGGATCTTTGTGTATCCATTGGGCCATATCCCAAGTATTTTCTAATTTGTAACTTGATTTCTTCTGTGATTCACTGGTTCTTAGGAGTGTGTTTGAATTTTATTTAGTGATGAACTTCCTATTTTTTCTGTTAGTAATTTCTATTCATATTCCTTTGTGGTTAGCGGACATACTTTATATTATCACACTCATCTTTAAACTTTGTGAGGCTAATTTTATGACTTACTTAGCAAGTGTCCTCTCCTAAATAATGTTCCACAGGCAATACAAGGAATAAACTACTCCTTTGTTAAGTGCTTTCCTTTGACTTTTTTGCCAGTTTTATTTTGCAGTGCTGAATCCAGAGCCTTGTATATGCAAGGCAAATAATATACCACTGAGCTACATCACAAGCCTTTTTAATACATGATTTTGCTATTTTTATTTTAGTCCAGGCTAGCCTTAAACTCACAATCCTCCTTTCTTAGCCTCCCAGCTGCTGGGATTATAGATGTGTACCCATAACTCATTTAAGTAGAGATTTCTGTATATTCTTACTTAGTGTTCAATTTTATAGTGTGGTTGAGTCTTACCTTCTCAAATTGATATTCTGTCTACTTGATCTTTACACCTTTTGTTAAAAGTAAGACAGTGAGCCTCTCACCATTCATGGTGATTAAGTTTTGCTTCCTGCATTTAGAGCTCTTCTGGATTTATGCACACATGTGCCTATAATTGTTGTATCTGCCTGATATAGTAACCCCTTTGTATGGTATAATGTCCATTTCTAGTAACTTTTAGGTACAAGTACTTCTGATAGTAGCATACCCATTCCATTTTTCTTGTGTTTTTGTTTGTATGATATGCTTATCCATCTTTTAATTTTCAGTTTACTTATTTCTTTTAATATGAAGTCTGTCTCACACATAATATATAGATGGGTCTTATTTATTTAATCTAGTCTGACACTACCTGCCTTTTGATGAGCTATTTAATAAGATAGTACTATTATAATATTGTTGGAGTTCCATACTGGAACTTGATTCGTGAATGCTGGATATCTTTACTTTCTTAAAATTATTTGGTAAATTTGTTGCATAGTATAGTTAAGTTGCTTAGAAACTATTTGGCCTTTTGAGGGTTTTCTTTAAGTTTTGTTGGAGTAGTGTCAAATTTAGGGCTAATTATTTTTCCTACTTAATCAAGACTTTTTGATTAATTTTTTGGTAATACCATTAATCTTGAGGTTTTCTAGTTTTATGGTGAAGAGAAGCATTAGTTTCTGTCCTATGAGTGCTAGGTGCCATCACCTCCAGTCCTTTCATGTGGTTCTTTTTTTTCCATTCTTAGCCAGTTTCCTCTCATATAAATGTCAATCACTATTTAGCGAGTCTTTCAAGAGGACCCTGTGAAGAGCTAACAATTTCTCTTCATTTGACTCTGCTGCAATAGTGTGTCCTCCTGTGACTCCTGTGTGCTGTGACTCCTGTGACCCCTGTAACTCTAGAGTCATGCCTGGATTCTCCTTCCCTGCCAGATCTGTGATCTGGACACCCAAACAGTAGGCTGAGGCAGTGGAGGCCCCACACACAAAGTTCTTACTTCTCAGTGTTCAATGGACGTTGTTTTGCTGATATTTGGCATTTTACACACCATTATTTTGTATATTTTGTTGGGTTTTTGTTTGGAACCGAGGAAGTCAGGTGTTAGAGTAAATTTGATCTCTCCTATTTCATCATGGCCAGAAACAGAAGTTCACATATTTCAGCAATTGTTTATCTTAATTTTTGTTTTTCACTTCAGGAGACTACCCACAAGGCCAGTGTTTTATTGAGTGGTAAACTTAAGGTAGAAAATGGGCAAATTTACCAGAACCCAGTTTCCTGGCTCAAGGATCTTCTGGGAGGTGGCAATTATGTGACCTGGAATTATGCTTGGAGTAAGGTGAGTAATTTTTAAATTTAACTTCACAATGAAATAGAAAATATTTGTTGTTTGCTTTCAAACATCTCTAAAAGAAATCTGAGAGACCACTGATTTGGTTTGTATCCCTGCATGTGTCTACTGTGATGTGCTGCATCTCCTTCCTACAGCTCTATCTGCCGGAGTTTCCAGGGGCCTGTAGCACAGTTGACTTTTTTATCTACTCTCACCAACTTCATCACCCTATGTACTTCTTTTTTTTCTCCCAAGAAACTTCAGTTTCCTGAATCCATATAGAAAATTGGGATCATTAAATAGCTGTGTTATTATGAGTATAATAAAATACAGCCAAAATCTTCCGCTAAGAACAAAGGGAATACCGTAAGACTTACAGACGTACATAACACTTTCACTTTTGAACATGGCACTGTCTTCAAACCACTCCAAGAACTGCTTTTCTTGTTTTCACTTGCACCTCTAAGACTTAGTAGCCTGGCTACTAGTTCAGTCCTGCATTCTGAATTGTAAGTCCAGTTATGATTTCACTGTTTAAGAACCATCTTACCATAGTTGACCCAGACAAGCATGCATCATCAAATCCACCTGTGCTAGATAGTTTTATTTCAGCTCGACATAAAATAAAGTCATCTGAGAGGAGGGAATCTCAATTAAAAAATTGCCTCCATAAGATCTACTTGTGGGCAGGCCTGCAGGGCATCTTCTTAATTAGTGATCAATGCGGAAGGGCCCAGCCCTTGGTGGGTGGTGCCATCCCTAGGCTGGTGGTCCTGGGTTCTATAAGAAAGCAGACTATGCAAGCCATGGGAAGCAAGCCAGTAATCAGCACTCCTCCATGGCCCCTGCATCACCTCCTGCCTCCAGGTTCCTGCCCTGCTTGAGTTCCTGTCCTAACTTCCTTGAATGATGAACAGTAACATGGAAATATAAGCCAAATAAACCGTTTCTTCCCTAAGTTGCTTTATGGCCATTGTAACAATAGAAACCCTAACTAAGACACCACCATTATCATTTCAAAGAATGGATGATACACCTAAATTCCACTAGCCACTTCAATAAGCCTCAAAGCACAAATTAACAGGAGACAGCTTCTCATTTTTGTCCAACCTAGCCTTGCCTACCCTCCCTCCTAGCTCCTACTATGCCCTCAACTCTACATTCTTCTAGACCTTTGTAAGAGTAGTTTTAGTTCCTTCACTTGTATCAGTATATTTTGGATTTTGTACATGATATAGTCTGTCTGCCATGCCTTCTCACCCCATCCTCCCCACTCCTGACAATCACCATGGTATCTACTTTTAGTTCATCCTTAGTCCTTTTGCCAAGTCCTTTTCACGGATGGGAAATTCATTACAAATGTTAGCAATTAGCATCTTAATAATCCCTTTCATTGCAATATTTTAAAAATTCTGATAGATTATACTCTTGCTGACACAGAATCTTCCCTCCTATTGTGAATCTGGCAGATTGCTTGGCTTTGGTCTTTTGATTTCGGCATGCTCATGTTACATAGTACCCAGTGAGAACTCACTTTCTCCTCTCTTTTCCTTTATTGGAACTAATGCATTTCCTGTCTTTGAATAGCTGACTATGACATATGGCTCTTGTGCTGTACCAGTGCCTCATTTATATATCATTTTGCTTCTGATAGTTTCTTACCAGCCGCCTCAGCTAGTCCTGTGGGTTAGCACCTATGTGATAGTGAAGCAAGTGCAAACGTGGACACTGAAAATAGGCAGTGCTTGGTGTGAGATATCTATCCAGACCATGAGCAGTCTTAGATTGCTTCTTATTATTATGGGGCACTCATGCACTTTTCGTAAATGCTCAAGGCAGTTTGGGGTTTTCTTTATGTTTGTTTTGTTTTTTACAAGACTTTATAGAAGTGTACTGTAAAAAAACTTTACCTGCTTCTTCAAGGTCTAGAGGAACTCCTAAGTCACAGTCTAAGTCTAGATGCAAGGGAAGTTTTGCTGTGTTCATAATTGTGTGTATTTCTGCTGACTAGTTCTGAGAATGGTGACATATACAACCAGGGATGATTAGTTGGCCAATACACATTCCAGGAAACAAGAAATGTTCTTCATCCAACAGTGTGACAGAGCTGCTAAGCAGAGTTAATTAGTACCACTCACATAGAGGGTAGGCTGCTGTACAGCTTTGTCAGGGAAGTCCTGATGCTTATTCCCATTGCATCTCACTACTAGTGCTCATTCCAGTGGGCAGAGACATCTCTGTAAGAGACCAGATCAACCTAGTGCCTGGGTCATCCATTCTTTATAAATTGTGATCAGAGCAATACTTTTTACAACAGCCATACATTAAAGTTACTTTAAAAACTAGCAGTGGCTAGGCATGGTAGCTCACATCTTCAGTCTTAGCACTTGAGAGGCAGAAGCAAGTGATTCTCTATTAATGTGACACCAGTTAGGTCTATACAGAAAGTTCCAGGGCAAGTAGAACTATATAGCTAGACCCTGTCTCAAAACAAAATGCCCGCCTGGAGACTATGCTCTGGGGATCCCATCTTGGAGGGTTCTAGCCTACCCAGATACTGCCAGCATCCTAGTCCCTTTCTCTGCCCACTGGACTAGGTAGCCAGGGGCCTGTTTCCAGCCCTCTTTCTGCCCTGCTCGGAGCCGCCTGAGGCCTGGGGACTGCCCACCAGGGATCCCATCCCAGATGCCCAGCCCATCCAGAGACTGCAGAGTCCCGGGTACCAGTCCCACATCCACACAGAAATAGGAGAGCCATTAGAATATTGGACAGGCTTGCACCCAGCAGAAGGGAACCTTAGACCCATATCCACCAGGAGAAGAAGTGACTCCTCCTGCACCCACTGGAAGACGGGATGGGAAGAACACAATATAAAAACACATTCAAAAACAGAAAAAACAATATGTCATCACTAGAGTCTAGGGACTCCACACCAGCAAGACCTGACCATCCAATGCAGATGAAGCAGAAGAGAACGACCTTAAAAACAACTTCATGAAAATGATAGAGGCTCTCAAAGAGGATATGAGAAAATCACTTAAAGAAATGGAAGAAAAAACAAACCAAAAAATGCAAGAAATCAACAAATCTCTTAAAGAAAGCCAAGAAAAGGCTAAAAAATGAAAGAAACAATTCAAACAGTTCAAGACCTGAAGACTGAAATAGAGACAATTAAAAAAACAAAACGCAAACTGAGGGAATTCTGGAAATAGAAAAGCTGGGTAAACAGATACAAGCATTACCAACAGAATACAAGACATGAAAGAGAGAATCTCACTCGTTGAAGACACACTAGGAGAAATAGATTCATCGCCCAAAGAAAATCTTAAGTTCAACAAATCCCTAACACAAAATATCCAGGAAATATGGGACACTGTGATAAGACCAAACTTAAGAGAAAAAGGTGTAGAAGATGGTGAAGAAACCCAACTCAAAGATGCAGAAAACATATTCAACAAAATCATAGAATAAAACTTCCCCAACCTAAAGAAAGATATGTCAATGAAAGTACAAGAACCTTACAGAAAACCAAATAGAGTGGACCACAAAAAAAGTTCTCTGACCACATAATAATCAAAACCACACACACACACACACTGAATAAAGAAAGAATATTAAGAAGGAAGAAGATCAAGTAACATATAAAGGCAAACCTATCAGAGTCACACCTGACTTCTCCATGGAAACTCTGAAAGCGAGAGGTCCTGGATAGATATTATACCAACAATAAAAGACCACAGATGCCAGCCTAGACTACTATACTAGGCAAAGCTTTCAATCACTATAGATGGAGAAAAAACGTGGTATTCCATGATAAAACCAGATTTAAACAATACATATCCACTAATTCAGCCCTACAGAAAATTCTAAAAGGAAACCCAAACCCAAGGAAGTTAACTACAACGAGAAAAACATAGGTAATAGATAATCCCACTTTACCAACAGCCAAAACAGAAAAGGGGTGGAAATCCAAATACAATTCCACCAACAACAACTATTCCATAACAAACAAGAATGAGCAATCAAAGGTCCTTAATTTCCCTCAATATTAGTGGTCTTAACTCGCCTATAAAAAGACACAGACTAACAGAATGGATATGAAGATAGAATCCATCCTTCTGCTGCATACAAGAAACATACCTCAACTTCAAAGACAGATGGTACCTCAGAGTTAAGGATTGAGATAAGATTTTCCAATCTAATGGACCCAAGAAACAAGAGAGGTAGCAATCCTAATATCTAACAAATTTTGAAATCAATCAAAAGAGATGAAGGCAGAGCACGCCTTTAATCCCAGCACTCAGGAGGCAGAGGCAGGAGGATCTCTGTGAGTTCGAGACCAGCCTGGTCTACAGAGCGAGTTCCAGGACAGCCTCCAAAACAATACAGAGAAACCCTGTCTCGGGAAAAAAAAGGGAGAGAGAGATGAAGGTGGTCATTTCATATTCATCATAGGAGAAAAATCCATCAAGATAAAGTCTCAATTCTGAACATCTATGCCCCAAACACAAAGTCATCCACAGTCATAAAGAAACATTGCTGAAACTCAAATCACAAATAAAACCTCACACACTTATAGTGGGAAACTTGAACACCCCACTATTACCACTACACAGAAATTTAACAAAGAAGGAACTAATATGACCATATTGGGTTTAAAAGGCATCTATAGAACATTCCACCCAAACACAAAAGAATATACCTTCTTCTCAGGGCCACATGGAACCTTCTCTAAAATTGACCACATAATTGGCAACATAGCAAAACTCCACAGGTACAAAAAAATTGGAAACCCCCTGTATCTTATCAGACCGCCATGCTTTAAAGTTAGAATTCAACAACACAAATTGCAGAAACCTTACAAACTCTTGGAAATTGAACAATGTGCAATTACACTATTCCTGGGTCAAGGAAGAAATAAGAAAAGAAATAAATGACTTCCTAGAATTCAATGAGAATGAAGACACAACATGCCCAAACTTATGGGACACTTTGAAAGCAGTACTAAGAGGAAAGTGCAGAATTCTACCAGAAATTCAAAGAACAGCTAATACCAGTTTTCTTCAAAGTATTCCACACAATAGAAGCAGAAGGGTCATAGACAAACTCTTTTTACAAGACTTCAATAACCTTGGTACACAAAGACATGACTAAGAAAGTGAACTAACTAATATCCCTTATGAACTTTGATGCAAAAATACTCAACAAAATCCTGGCAAATCGAATCAAAGAATATATCAGAAAAATCATTCACCATGATCAAGTCGGCTTCATTCCAGAGATGCAGGGATGGTTCAACATATGAAAATCTATCGGTACAATCCACCATATAAACAAGCTGAGAAACAAAAATCACATGATCATCTCACTAGATGCTGAAAAAGCCTTTGACAAAATCCAACATCTCTTCATGATAAAAGTCTTAGAGTGATCTGGGATAACAGGAGCATACCTAAACATAATAAAAGCTATATACAGCAAACCGACAGCCAGCATCAAACTCAATAGAGAGAAACTCAATGCGATTCCTCTAAAATCAGGAACAAGACAAGGCTGTCCACTCTCTCCATACCTCTACAATATTGTACTCGAAGATCTAGCTAGAGCACTAAGACAACAAAAAGAAGATCAACTGGATAAAAATTGGAAAAGAAGTCAACTTTCATGTGAGTGTCAGTGAGAAGGCCTGGGCAACCTATGGGGCCCTGAGCTGTGGATCAGTGTCTATCCCTGGTATACAAACTGTCTTCATGTGCCTATAGCACAGAGAGAGATGCTCTCTCAGCCTGGACTCTTAGGGGAGTGCCTTGACCCTACCAAGAGTAAAATGACAGACTCTAGATATCCCCTATGGGGAAGGATTTGGCAATAGGGTGGGGGGGGGGAAGGGGAGTGCGGGAGGAAAAAAAAAAGAAGTCAACTTTCACTATTAGCAGATGATATAATAGTTTTCATAAGTGACCCTAAAAACTCTACATGGGAACACCTACAACTGATAAACACCTTCAGAAAAGTGGCAGGATACAAGATTAACTCAAAAAAAAAATCAGTAGTCCTACTACATACAGAAGATAAATGGATGGGCTGAGAAAGACGTCAGAAGCATCACCCTTTACAATAGCCAAAAACAACATAAAATACCTTGGGGTAACTCTAACCAAACAAGTGAAAGACCTTTATAGCAATAACTTTGAGTCTTTAAAGAAAGAAATTAAAGAAGATAACAGAAAATGGAAAGATCTCCCATGCTCTCCAATAGGTAGGATCAACCTAGTAAAAATGGCAATCTTGCCAAAAGCAATCTACAGGTTCAATGCAATCCCCATCAAAATCCCAGCACAATTCTTCACAGACCTTAAGAGAACAATACTCAACTTTATATGGAAAAACAAAAGACCCAGGATAGCCAAAACAACCCTGTACAATAAAGGAACTTCCGGAGGCATCATCATTCCTGATTTTAAGCTCAATTATAGAGCTATAGTCCTGAAAACAGCTTGGTATTGGCACAAAAATAGACAGGTAGACCAATGGAAATGAATTGAAAACCCTGATATGGACCCACATACCTATGAACAATTGATTTTTGACAAAGAAGATAAATTTATACAATGGAAAAAAGAAAGTATCTTCAACAAATGGTGCTGGCATAACTGGATGCTGACGTGTACAAGATTACAGATAAATCCATATCTGTCACTGTAGAGGGAAGTCATTTCCTTGCCAGCCACTTTGGTTTTTCCCCACCAGTCGCCTGGGCTCTGCCACGTTGTAGTCCCCAAATAACACACAAGACGCTGTATTAATTATGAAGCTGTTGGCCATTTGCTTGATTTCTTACTGGCTATCTCTGACTTAAGTATTTAACCCACCTAAGTATTTCTCTTACCAGACATCTTACTTCTCTGGTGGGCTACATGATGACTCCTTGTGTTTCTCCTACCCAGAGTCCTCCTGGACTACTAGTCCCACCTATCTTGCTTCCCTATTGGCCAACAGTGCTTTATTGACATATACACAGGATTTCCCCATCATGTCACCAAGCACCAAATGGATCAAAGACCTCAACATAAATCCAGCCACACTGACCCTCTTAGAAGAGAAAGTAGGTGGTACCCTTGAACAAATTGGTACAGGAGACTGCTTCCTGAACATTACACCAGTAGCACAGACACTGAGATCCACAATTAATAAATATTCCTCTTGAAACTGAGAAGCTTCTGTAAGACAAAGAACACAGTCAACAAGACAAAAAGGCAGTCCACAGAATGGGAAAAGATATTCACCAACCCCACATCTGGCAGAGGGCTGACCTCCAAAATGTACAAAGAACTCAAGAAGCTAGTCTCAAAAACACCAAATAATCCAATTAAAAGTGGGCTACAGAACTAAATAGAGAATTATAGAGGAGTCTAAAATGGCTGAAAGACACCTAAGAGCAAACATACCCAGCTTGCACTTTGGTGAGTGCAAAGTATGTTGGACATTTTCAGGACATAACAAATCCAAAATCCATTGTTTCTAATATTGATTCTTTGAAAACTGACTGATAATATTTAGGGACCTTTCCAGTCTGTGGCAAGAAAGGAGGGATTGACACAGTGGAGAGGCCTAGTATGTCCGATTTTCACCTTCAGACTTTGGCCTATGAGTTGAGCCCAATGGGTCTCTTCACCTTACAGATGTTCTATCTGTAGCTCACCCTGTAGCTCACTCTGTTAAACTTAATAAGTTATTGAGCACTAAAAGTCTACTAGAAAACCATATCAAATATTTGCTGGATGTTATCTCTTTCAATCTTAATAAGCTGAGACATTGAATTTAAGAGCCTTACTTAAGACCTGGAACTTAAAAGTCTTTCATTCCATAACAGCAGGTACTAAAGGTATAAAAATGCATATGACACAGGCCCTGTTCTCAAAAAGCTTAGTATTTAATGTAACAAGACACATTAACTTATTTAAATGAGATAATTATTGTGACAGAAACAGGGGCAGAGAAATTATAGAAGGCCTATGAGGGTGTCATTCTTAAGTTTAAGAAAATGTGCTCTAGAGAGAATGTTCAAATTGAAACTTGACACATTGTCCACATGAAGCTACTCTCTGGGACTGTATTATTAGAATGTCCTAACTGAGAGTAGACAGTTATTTGTGAGTTAGTCTCTGCCCCTCCCTTTTACAGACAGATATTTTTAAGCTCTGAAGTTTTAAGCTGATAACACATTAATTAATTAGTTAGTTAATCTCTAAATTCACAAGCACATCTTTAAATGTATATATAGGCCTAAATGTTATTAATGTGATTAATACATTTTCTGTAGCCGGATAGTAGGTTTTTCTGCCAGTGCAGTAAGTCAGGCCAAGCTGAATTGAAAAAGTAAAAAAACATGCTGATTTGAGCAAAGCAACTTCAAGATCAGTTCTCCAGTCCCAGAGATTAAGTCTGGAGAAGTCATGCATCCAAACTAAAGCAGAGAGATTATATAGCCTATAGATGAGGGGTAATGACATGTCTGCCACAAACTTGGATTCTGTCCAAGTATGGTCAGAAGCTGGAATGCTTAGGCAGGGACTTGGGCTGCTGGAGGCAATAGGAGAAGAAGTTGCAGTAGTTGCCAGGAAGGCAGAACTAAACTTTTGGCACCTTGTCTTTGTTGGAGATTCACAGAGAGGGGTTTGGGGGGGGGAAGGAGGGAGAATGGGGGAGAGGAATGGAGCTTTCCAGATCGTGCAGGGGCATGCTGGAGGTTCCAACTGAGTAGTTGATCAATTAGGTAATCTCATTTCTTGAAAAGTGGCATTACTTTTATGGTTTAGTTTTATTAGAATGATCATTTTTAAGATATAAAGCAGTAGATATTAGATTAATAGTTGTGCATGTGAGCTGATGAGAGAATTAATGATAAACAAAGGCTGACAGATTTTTCTGTATCGGAACAGATAGTAAATTATAGTTCAGGCTTCACTGATACATGATTTCTGCTCCAAGAACTTAAATCTCTACTAGTCCCAAAGCAGCCAGAAATGTTAAGTAGCTGAATGCTAACTATATTCCAACAAAATGTTTTTATAAAAATAAAGGTGGCAGGCTAGACATGGCTCTGACCTATGGTATTATAAAACAATAAATTGTTTACAAAAAAAATCACAGTTTTTCAGGAAATAAGTATATTTGCCTCTTCCAGAATATATAATTTTTAAATTCCATTTTGAATTACTTACAGGTAACATATCTTGGAAAGGAGCTTCTAAAGTATGTTTCTGAAGTGCCTGTTTCACCAGAACCCCATAACACACCTCAGCAACAGCAGCCTTGTCCCCCAGGTATGTGTAGCCAACCCCTATTTTGTAGTTGTGGGACATGAGTATCCAAGCCATTTGGTGAAATTCATAATTAGTCATTATAATTAATCATTTTAATGTAAAATCCAATGCACTTAGTATATTCACAATGTGTAAAATCACTACCTCTGTGTAGTTTCAAAATGCTTTTGTGGTCTCCAAAGAGTACTATTCCTGTTTAGCAATTACTCCCCCCATTCTCTACACCCCTCAGTCCCTAGGAGTAGCTTTCTGTGAATGGATGTGTTATTCTAAATATGTTATATACATGAAATAATGCACTGTGGCCTCTGTGTCTAGCTTTTATTCAGCACAATATTATCCATATTGTAGCATGCACTTTGTTCCCTTTTATGGATGAACATACTCTATTTTATGAATATGCCACAATTTTTTCATTCATCATTTGACCTTATGAGCTGTTTCCACTTCAGAGATATGTGAACAATGCTGTTGATAAATAGGCATACACATTTAGTTGTTTGACTACCTGTCTTATATTCTTGTGGCTATATAGTGAGGAATGGAATTGTATATTATATAGTAACTCTAGGTTTTATTCTTGAAAAATAGCAAGACTGTTTTCAACATCATCAGAACCATTTTACATTCCCACAGTAATGATCAAAGGTCCTAAGTTCTCTACATCCCCAGTAATATCTGTGTTAGTTTTTTGTCCTAACCACAGTTGCTTCTAGAAAATTTCTTAGATGGTGCCATCTTTTACAATTAATTTCTTTCTCTGAGTCTTACTCTAAAATCTGAGTGGTTTTCTTGAAGTGTCATGCACATAAAGGGATACTTCTTCCCAAAAGCTTGTTCTGTTCATATGTTTTCTGAAATCTTGCACTAAAATGAGACTTTGCTTATTATGCTAATATTCTGTGTGGAATGGAGATAATAATATCCTGAGAAAACTAAAGATGCAGTCTCACAAATGAGTGTAACACCTTGACTTGATTGTGAAAAGAAAAACATAATCCTGACAGTCACATATAACCAAAATTATGTTTCCCTCCTCTGCTACAATGCTCCTCCTTTTATCCCAGTGTCCCTGTATCTGACCAGTTGCAGCCAGTCTAGGCAGAGGGGTGCTGCACAGTAGAAAATGATAACGTTGTGATAAATAAGGTCAAGAACCAAACGAGGTTTCTGTTGCCCTACCCAGGACTCCCTGGTACTCTTACTTTCCTTAAAATAGGGATCCATAGTGAAACTGCTTCTCTTTCCTCACTCATTCTTAACCCACTTAACCTCCTTAGATCCTGTCTCAAAAAAAATTGTACTGACTCATTTTATGTCATGAGACAAGCTAGAGTCATCTGAGAGAAGGGGTTCTCAATTGAGAAAATGCCTCCATAAGAGAGCAGACTATGCAAGCCATTGAGAGCAAGCCAGTAAGCAGCACTCCTCCATGGACTCTGCATCAGCTCCTGTCTCCATGTTCCTGCCCTGTTTGAATTTCTGTTGACCTCCTTCAATGATGAACAGTGATATAGAAGTATAAGCCAAATACATCCTTTCCTCCCCAACTTGCATTTTGATCATGGTGTTTCATTGCAGCAGTAGAAACCAAAACTAAGATAAATACCTCCAGCATAGTAGGTACCTTCTTCTAGTTTTGTAAAGACGGGCTTCATAGGGATGTTTCCTTACTTGGAAACTTAGTCTGGGAGATCAGATCACTGAACATGGGGAAGTTAAAGGTGTATGAAACTAGTAGTTCTGGTGATACTGGTGTTTGGTTCCAAACTGTCCTGTTTTCTTCTCTGTTGCTGTGATAAAGCAATGACCAAAAACAGTTTAGGGGAGGGAAGGAGTTTTTGGCTTGTAGGTTAAAGTCCACCATCAAGGGAAACCAAGACAAGAACACAGAGGCAAGAACTGAAGGAGAGCCCAAAGACAAATATTGGGTTTTGGCTTGCTTCCCATGACTGACTCAGTCTGCTTACTTACACAGTCCTGGACCACCAGGCAGTCCCTGGAGGAGGCACTGTCCGCAGTACGCTAGGCCCTCCACATCAACCAACAGTCAAAAAGCGTTCTTCCCACAGACAATGCCTCCAGGCCACTATGACGGGGGTTATTCCTCACTGAGGTTCCCTCTTTTGAGGTGACACTAGTTTGTGTCAAGTTGACAGAAAGTATCATACTAACCCTGACTACAGTAAGTTAATAGAATTAAATCATGACATCAAACCAAGTAAATCGGTGTTTAAGAAAACAAACCTGATTCATGAGCTAGGTTGTTGGAACCTATTCCCTGTGGTGGGATGTCCTGCTCAGCCTTAATGCATGGGTGAGAGGCTTGGCCCTGCCCTATACTATTGTGACAGACTTGTTGACTCCTCATGGGATCCTTTACTCATGAGGAGGAGTGGACTGGGTGTGGGCCTAGTGGGAAGTGGGAGGGAGTAGGAGGAAAGGTGGGAGGGAGAACTGTGGTTGGAATATAAAATGAAATTTAAAAAAATAAATTATTCAAAAAAAGAAAATGTGGAAAAGGGGAGGTTGAGACTGTTTTCACCTTCTTTTATAAGAAGTGTATATAGGCCTTAAAATCCTGTACATGGAGTGTCAGACCTTATGCCTGTAATTCTCTATTATAGATCACTGCTGGTTTCATGGCATTTCTCCTTCTGAGAGATTGAAGAGGTCTGAGTTCAAAGAGATTTTTATAAGCTCTTATTTATTATAGTCCCCAGTGTTTACCACACCAGGGCTTCCAATAAATATCCTTTGAGTAATACTCATTGAATATATGAATAAGTGACTGTATTGAGTATGATCCAAGGGACTCTGTTTTAAAACTGCATTTAATTGGATGATCTTAATAAGCAGGCACGTCAAAATCTCAAAGACTGTAATAGAATTTAAGATAAGGAATTCAACAAATGGTAAATGCAATTTTAGTTACTATTATCTTTTTTTTTTTTTTTTTTTGGTTTTCCGAGACAGGGTTTCTCTGTATTGTTTTGGAGGCTGTCCTGGAACTTGCTCTGTAGACCAGGCTAGCCTCGGAACTCACAGAGATCCACCTGCCTCTGCTTCCTGAGTGCTGGGACTAAAGGCGTGAGCCACCAACGCCCAGATACTATTACCTCTTTTTAAACATTTAGTGTGTGTGTGTGTGTGTGTGTGTGTGTGTGTGTACATGTGACCATGGAGGGCAGTGAACAACTTGCAGCATGTGGTTCAGAGAATCAAACCCAGGTTCTTTACCTACTAGCCCATCTTGCCAGCCCAGTTAGCATCATCTCTTTCACCTAGAATTGCTGTTTCTATTTGTGAGGTAGGTTCAGATAATGGCCCTTCCTATTTTCTCAGCCAGAAGTTAGAGAACACTCACATTCACTTTCATATTCTGTCTGTCTCTTGTTCATGAGAAATAATGAAGTCTCTTTGGCTTTGTTCATCAATTTTCTTAAACTTAAAAAAAAACAGATGACATCTATAACATTTTTATAGAACAAACATCGTCTTCCTTGATTTGTATGTATGTACATATGTATGTGTGTATATATCATATTTGACTCGTGGTATCAAGAGAATCTTAAGTTTTAAGTATTTCATCTGGCCATTTTAAGACTTTCTTCAAGCCAGATATAATGGTACATAACTATAATTCTAGCACTCGGGAGGCTAAGGCAGGAAAATTGCAAACTCAAAACCAGACTATACTACACAGTGAGATCCTGTCTCGAAAAACACAGGCCCATTTTATATGCTTAGGTTTAATGTCAGTATATTACCAAAATACTCAAAACACATCAATATTAAACTAAACATACATAGGAAAAAGGAAACATTGTCTGAGATGTTTTAGAAGCCCTCACTGTAACATACTAATTACATATTTTATAGAGACATGATATCTTATTTGTCTTTTAGAAACAATGTGCTTTTCCAGGAAAACAAAAAAGGTAGCAGCATGTTTCTCCAGGTTATAATGGGATGGTCCTTATCACTAATAACGTTATAGAAAACGACTTGAGAAGACAGTCATATCAATGCTGCTGTTTTGCTTCCTTTCTCTGTAAGTGTGTGGTAGAGCTGACACAGTCACAGGTGCTCCTGTTGTATGTGGTTGAGAACCAAGCCTGAAGGAGGATAAGTACCCAGTGAGAATACCAAGATTGTTTATTTCAGCTCTTATTTGCAACTCTGAATTATTTTTCATTGTTTTAATCATAGTTTCTCACTCAGATATCATGATTGACACTACTTTAACCTAACTCATAGGTTGGAATATATATACACATATGCATGAAGATTTTCCTTGTCTACAGACCTCTGAGACCATTTACTTCTTTATAGTAACTCTCTGGGTTTCTTTTTATGTTTGATCAAATGCACAAAAACCTAAACACTTTAAAATCTCTCTCTCTCTCTCTCTCTCTCTCTCTCTCTCTCTCTCTCTCTCTCTCTCTCTCTCTCTCTCTCTCTCTCTGTCTTTCTTTCATACATACACACCAAGAGCTTGAGTTGTTTTAAACTCACAAATACTTAAGGTCTCTTGAGCTTGGGCAAAGCATCATGATATCAGGAGCATGTGGTGAAGGACCTGCTTTGTCTCATGATGGATAGGAAAAGGCGAATTCAAAAAGAGACCAGAGAAAGATAGAGCCTCATCCCCATTCCAGGATACACTCCCATGGCCTGCTTCCTCTAAGTAGGCTTTACTTCTTACTGTACTATCATTTCCCAGAAACACCATGGTATCATGAACGCATCAAGGTATTAAGCCATTCTTTAGGTGGAAGCTCTGATGATTTAATTCTCTGAGAATACCATAATACCTCTGGGTAGCTCTTCATCCTGTCAAGTTCACAGTGAACAGCAAGCATCCTACTACTGTTAAAATAATTATTGATTATTTATTAGTGGTTGAAATTACATTTATCATGGAATTTGCTTTGTCTCTGGTTCCTGGCACAGAGCTCCTTAAGTCCTTGGAATTTCCCAAATGATAAGGATGATAG